CAGTTCCTTGCAATGATGTTGTTCTTCTGTAGACACTGATGGTGAAATCTTGATCTTGTCATAGATGTTCTGTAAATCAGGACTGATAGTAGTCTCAGGCACCATGGTGTTCAATATCTGGACAGGCTGGAGTTCACACAAAACTGCTCGTGGTGGAACTGCAACAGTTCTTGTGGTAACATTACAAATCTCCACAGGAATAGTAGCGCTGGACTCATGGTCGTAAAGGTGGAGTGATGAAGTGATATCCAGATCGGTATGGATAATGGATTTCCTTGTAGCTTGAAGCATGGCAAGGACTCTGTGATATGGCAGCTTCTTATCCATGTATCCTTCAATCGTCACTCTTCCATTGGGTGGAATAATCACTCGTTCTGTAGATGCAGACTTAATAAGACAAAGTCTATTGCTGTGTCGCTGCAAGTCTCTCTGCCTCAAGGTCATACACTTGAAGGCTAAGTACCATGAAGTCTGCAATTGAGCATCTTGAAGATATCTCGATCCGAACTCATCTCGGGTAATATCTATGAGACGACTAATAATGTTGGTTCCAATGAGAACGGGTACTCTAGCATTATAATTGCTGTTAGGTACAATTAAAAACAAGCAGTCATCTAAGACATCATGAGGTGTACCATAAGGCTTAATGCTAGCAGATATATAGCCTGAGTAGGGCATATGTTGTCCATCTGCACATTCAATATGCAGTATTTCATCAAGAGGATGAATCTCAATATGAGATAAATATTTGTCATAAAAATCTGCACTTATGGTAGACACTGTAGCACCTGTGTCAATGAGCGCTGGGCAAGGGACCTGCTCAATCTCAATGTTCACCTCGTTCGATATACCAACTATTGCTTCTTTGTCGCTGGGCCTCCCTTTGATCTGGCCTGATCCTCGACCCCAGGATTTGGCCTGTTGGAGTTTAAATGACCTTGTTTCCTCTGATGATCCAACTTGACTCTGCATCCGATTGCTAGATGACCTTCTTGATGACATCTGAAACAAACAATCTTACCTTTTTGTTGATCTCTCGTTGGTAGGGCTGGATCACTCATTGCCTCAGGAGGAGTAGGCATCTCATCATACTGCGGCCTTCTGTTGTAATCATGGAAGTTTCTTCTTCCTCTCTGAAATGATGGTCTGGGTCGATACTGATAATACTGAGGAGGTTGATTTTGGTGCTGAGGTTTAGCCATCTGCTGTATCTGTGTAGACAGCTGCTGAATCTGAGCTTGTATCTCACTAAACCTCTCGTCTGTGGTGGACTGTGCCGATTTAGCTGTAACCTGCTTAGGTTTCACTGTAATACCAGGTTGATGATCCATCTCAATCTTCCTGATAGCTACTCTAAGCTTATCAAAGTCTGGGGTAATCTGAAAGATATGTCCTGAAATGTCTTTCAATTCCTGGCGCAGACCTTTATAAAACATAGTCCTCAACATGTCATTGGCATTTGCTGGGGAAATCTTTCCTTTCTTAACAGCCTGGTTTAGAAGTTCCTCCAGTCGAACACTCCATGCTGCACAATCCTCATCAGATTTTTGTTTGGCGCTATAAAATTCAGCAAGAATGTCTTCAGTGCCAAGCACATTCCCATATATGCTGTCAAACTTCTGCAGAATTTCCTCAGTGGTGCTGGCTGGGCCTAACCTCATCAACACATTTGCTGGTTCACCCTTTAACGATCTCCTAATAGCGTTCATGATGGTATCCTTGGAATATCCTTCTTTACTCAAACAAGTAACCTCATAACGCCAGAGTTCATAAGAAGAATCACTCTTTCCTCCAGAAAACATGGCAATCCGCACGGGATGCTTGAATGGAGTCGTAAAGTCCATCGTTGTGTTGGAGAATGGTGAAAAAGGTTCTGGCTTAACTGGTGTTTTGGGTGTCTTTGGTATAGCTCCTGATTCTTTACCAACGGCGACTACCTCGGACATCCAACCAAGCAGATCCGCAGGAGTATCAGCTTTTGGTTTCAGGTTCATAGCTTCCAGGGTTTTCATCAACTGCTCTTTCTCTTCCTTCGACATAAACGTTCCTGCAGTTGCTCCTTCTGTCTCTTCTGCTGTTGACTTTTTGTCAGTAGACATGTTTGATGTGTTGAACCACAATGAAATAAAAATGTACAAAAGACAATAATTCATGTACAAAATTCAAGGTAGCAGGTGGGTAGTCTCTCTGAAGACTAAGAAAAACACAGGACAAATGTTGGGGAAATAAATCTTATTCTTTATAATCTAATAATAAGGAGGGTAGTTCAATGTGAACGTGTCAAAATGTGGGCTATCAAATCAATTTAAAAATTCAGTGCTGAAAAATAAATGAATCAGAATTGCTTAGGGGGGTAAGCTCTAAATAGAACTTATAAACAAGGGAAAACGAAAGTAGAAATGCACATCCGGTAGTACCTTGCACTTCCGGTAATGATAAATAATGCACTAAAGTTGTAAAGTTGTGAAATCAGCTGTTCAACAAACAAAATTACAAAGTTAAATAAATACCAAAGTTTACCTGTTTACTCCGCTGTAAAATAAATCAGGGCAAAAGGGCATTCAATGATGTTTCAGTAAATACAAATTTCAAGTGAAATATTCAAATATTCTAAAGAAATAAACACAAGAACAACAATTTTCGATAAACTTTGTCAAAAACGCGTGTTTACATTTGTAATTTCCGGTGCGGTATAATCGGAATATCGAGCTCGATCAGTAAACGAAAAGAAACCGAACCCGAACAGTTAACTGTGAAAACGGAAGTAGTCAAACGAAAAAACGAACCCGATCTGAAAAAAATGTCAACAAAACGGCATGGTTTCTGAAAACTGAAAATAATGTAGCAGGTATGGAAACGAAACACTCTGAAAGTGGATAGAAGTAATTTAAACTGCTTAACTATGGTTCTTTACACAACTATGCAAGTAAAATGACACACTTTAACCCAACTTCAATCAACTGACACCTGTTTTACTCAAACCAATGCAACACTACCACTTCAACTACCACTGTAAAACTCAACACCTGTAAAATATCTGTGTATTGTCAGTCTACAGTCTTGTTTGTCAAAAGTAAGACAGATGAATTAATTAACTACATATCTGTTATTCAAGTAGTAATACCTGGAAACAAAGGGCTTAAGGGTAGGTAATGTGCTATATAGAAATAGAGAGGATACTTTTACACTACACTTTCTTACCAAATTAGGAAAATTTGAAATGAAATTTAAATAATTGCAAATTCAAATAAGCTGTCAAATAAACAAAATTCTAAATAATTTTAAGAGTACTCAAGCGTTTACAAATTTATAAAATAATTAATTACACTGAAATATGAAATAGGGTACCCAAAAGTAAAAAAAATAAAGAACAAAAAAATAAGTAAGACAGACAGACAATGTCTATGCCGGCTTCTAACACAAATTACCTTCACTCACCAATCAGCTGATCTTATGATTACATACTTATGATATTTACATGTACATATATACAATATACTAATACACTGCACAAGAATGGTCCATGGACAGAACGGTCCAGAATCCAGAAGGAATCGCAGACAGTCTATGGAATACACAGTCACTACTGCACGATATCGTCTAGGCTCAAAGTGTTTATGTTCTTGAGAAACTTAACAGTCTAAGCTCACCAGAATAACGGAACCTCAGTCTGCAGGCTTTCCGTTGTATCCTGGACGTCCTGAGCGTACGTCTAATCCATCGTAGAGTTGAATTTCGTCTTGTCCCTACATGGGCGCCAAAATGTAACAGACTTGTGTTGAGGTAATTGTGTGGTCGTTAAGAATGAACAACAAGGCTGTTGGTTCGAGTTGAACAAGACAGTAACTCTTTATTCGATGGATAGATAATCATCAATCATCATCAAAACCCTATAATGAAATAACAAATTATAAATTCTAAGCATAAAAACTATAAAGCTATTCATCAATATATATGTACAAATCAATATATCATATAGCTTTATCCGAATCAAGGGAGATAATTCAATTACATGAAAATTACATAATAAAATCTCCCATTGCTTTAATTAATGAATATTTAGAATAAAATCTTTACAATAATTATTATTCCAATGTATATGTACATTATCAATTATTGTTTAGCATAAAAACAATGAACATGCGTACCATTCAATGGGAATGGGTCAAATGCTGTACAACAGCATATAAGCTGCATACACAAAACTGTATATGTACTAGGATAATATCTACAAATCAACAATAAACACCTTTGTAGATATCTATACTAATCATAAAATAAAGTTTACTTTAAAAATATGAAAAAGTGAGACAGCACTGTATTTACTATTTACACATAACTCTATATCTAAGGTCTCACTCTCACTATACATTTACTCCAGAAAAGTGATTAAAGGAATTAAGTGCAAAAATTACAGATTTCACATTTAATAGAATTAGAATTATATTACTCATTAGTATTAAAGAATTACTTACCATGCAATAGGAAATGTTGGTCTCAAGGTCAATGTCTGATTTGTAAAACAACTATGGAAAATCAGAGACAAAAACACTTCCAACACATATGGCAACCAAGCAAGAATTACCCAAAAACACAAAGAAAACTTGGAGGGAAACACAAAAACCAATAGAAAACCATAAGACAATACTAAAAAACCAATGAAACTAAAAGATACAAAATGACCATGGCCAGAATATAATTAGCACCCTGAGGCTAACTCTGGACCTCTCTGGAAAAGAATCATTTAAAAATCAATACACTTAACTACAGGTTAAATGAATAATTACATAATTCAGCTGTAGAAGTGTGCTGCAAGTAAAAACATATATAATTAAATAAATGAATAGATGCACATGCAATATGCATTGCTATGCACATGTGCATAATATATAAAACATGAGTCTGTCACACATGTATTAAGAAAGAATTAGCATCTAACAGCTCCTACATTTACTCTCTCACTTAATATTTGCAATACATATATTATTTTTATGTTACAGGAGTAACTGTGATCTATCAGCTGCGAATGTCCTAAGACAACACTATAGCCGTCCATACTTTCTGCCAAAACAAGCCGAGTCCAGCAAAACAGACTGGATATTCATGGGGAGTCCTGGATATGGTGCTTCAATGCATGTATGTCAGTCACAACATTAGTTTTGTAAATTCATGTCTCTTTTTCAGATCAGTTTGTAATGTATTAGCTACTGTAGGTCAATATTGTAAGATGTCCATACAAGAAGCAAATCAAGCAATATATTAGGCCATCCTTAAAAAATTATTTGTTTGGAATTGCCGCCTGAAGGGTTTCAGACGCAGGAGGGAGGGAGGGAAATTATTTTTTTTTAATTGAAAACCTAATTTTACATAGATCTGACACTATATTTCAGTGTTTTGTATGGTGCATGTGATACATGTAATAGGCAAAAGAATTGATTAAATAAGAAAATTTTTTCCTACTTTTGGTCAATAAAATTTTTTCAGGAGGGGGGTATTTCAATGAGGCGGGAGGCAATTCCAAACAAACTATAATTTTATTTTGGCCTTATCCCAATCACCTTTGAAAAACCAAGTGTCAAAATTTTAGTGACCTCAATTTTTTATTTTGTATATATTAATACTGATACAAATACTATTCCATTTTCTAACTGTACATTAATTCAGTAACAAATTTGACTTAAAATTTATAAAATCTCCAAATTTATAAGTTATTCTGAACTTAAAAAATCAAGTAAAAATTGTAATATAGCCCACTAACTGTTCCATGCTGCTTTTGCATCATGAGGGAAACTTGCCTAGTATCCATTGCATCCATATTGTTCAAATACCATGTCTTGGCATGTATATTGTAATAAGATGCCATTGAGTTTTTGACATGGATTGGATGAATGGAAATAGCACATTTGATCCAAGATAAAATTTTGCAGCAGATATTAAATTCCTATTTCAATTAAAAGAGTTGATTTTCACTAGAATAAGATAATAATAAAAAGAAATTTTGTCATTTGGTTTAATTACATGTATATATTTATGACTTATAATTATTTTTTTTATTTTGCCCTTTCTAGATCGATTATGTGAATAACCCTTCTTGGCAGGCACAAATCACTGGAACCAAACGCTGGACACTGGAACCTCCCCCAGAATGTTACTTTGCCTGTAAACAATCTTTTTTCGATGTTACTGTCCAGCCAGGGGAAATAAGTAAGATATAAATAATTAAGATATACTGAGTAATAGAAGAAATAAGTAAGATATACTCAGTAATAGGGGAAATATGTAAGATATACTTGTATATGTACTCAGTAATGTATCTGGGAGTTCATATAATTTATACAGAAATTGCTCCTTTTGCCTTTTCTTATGTCTTTTATCCTTCCTGACTAAAGTAAATTGGTGAAACTAATTTTAACATTTAGGTTGCATGACTTTTCACACAGGAAAATATAAAATGCTGTAGATGTAAAAATCTTGATCCATATCATATGATTGTCAAATTCAGAACTGGGATTATTAAGTAATTAAAGTACATGGTAAAGCTCATTGGGTAATAAGTTTCCATTCATGAGAACTCAGCAGCTTTCAGTTGTAACCCCCCTTCCCTATCCACTTCGTTTTCAAACTCTATGAAAGGGAATAATTTTTAATCCATTTTTATGTACTTTTTTATGCTTTCAGTTGTTTTAGACACAAATCTGTGGTTCCATGCAACACTGAATGTTGGAGACAACATAAGCATTGCCATTGGATCAGAGTTTGATTGACATTCCAAAGAAATGCCAAAGAATAGAATAATATTTTGTATGTGAAATAATAAGTTTGGGGGGGTATATAGGAATCACCTTGTCCATCTGTCCGTCTGTCTGTCTGTCCGTCTGTCTGTGCAAATGTGTCCGGTCCATATCTTTCTTACGGAGGGACATTAGAATCTACTACTCCACACAAAGATTGCCCATGACCCAAGGGTGTGTCATGACCTTGACCCAAGGTCATTTGGGGAAGTTCAAGGTCACTGGAAGAAAAAGTTCATAATTCGTGTCCGGTCCATATCTTTCTTATGGATAAACTTGGTAGGTTCTCATTTCACACAAAGATTGCCCATCTCCCAAGGGTGTGTCATGACCTTGACCCAAGGTCATTTGGGGAAGTTCAAGGTCACTGGAATAAAAATTTCATAATTCGTGTCCGGTCTACATCTTTTTTATGGATAAACTTGGTAGGTTCTCATTTCATGCAAAGATTGCCCATGACCCAAGGGTGTGTCATGACCTTGACCCGAGGTCACTTGAGGAAGTTCAAGGTCATTGGAAGAAAAAGTTCATAATTTGTGTCTGGTCCATGTCTTTCTTATGGATAAACTTGGTAGGTTCTCATTTCACGCAAAGATTGCCCATGACCTAAGGGTGTGTCCTGACCATGACCCAAGGTCATTTAGGGAAGTTCAAGGTCACTGGAAGAAAATTTTCATAATTTGTGTCCTGTCCATATCTTTCTTATTAGGGCTGGGTATTGGCCCAAGATTTCGTATTGCGATATATTGCGATATTTTTTACTGTATTGCGATATGTATTGCAATGTTTTCAATGTAATTAAAATGGCATTTCCTTACTATATTTACTTTAATTTACATGCAGAATTTACATAGCTACGATAAGTAACCAACATGGAAAAAAAAACTTGTTGATTTCATTTAAGTTATGCTCTGAAATGCTCCCACAAAACAACTTCTGTCTTACTGTTTGGCTTAATAACAACTTTAATAAGTCCATTTTTATATTTAATGACAAAATTCCTTAATCTAAGCATATTGCCACTATATCGATATTACAAAATCGTATTGCGATACGATATTTTTCGTCACTGTATTGCAATATATTGAAATATCGATATTTTTGCCCAGTCCTATTTCTTATGGATAAATTTGGTAGGTTCTCAATTCACACAAATATTGCCCTTGACCCAAGGGTGTGTCATGACCTTGACCCAAGTTCATTTGGGGAAATTCAAGGTAACTGTTAGAAAGAGTTTACAATTCATGTCTGGTCTACCTCTTTTTATGGATAAACTTGGTAGGTTCTCATTCTACACAAGGATTGCCCATGACCCAAGGGTTTGGCATGACCTTGACCCAAGGTCATTGGGGGAAGTTCAAGGTCACTGTAAGAAAATGTTCATAATTCATGTCCGGTCCATATCTTTCTTATTGATAAACTTGGTAGGTTCTCATTTCACACAAAGATTGCCCATGACCCAAGGGTATGTCATGATGTTGACCCAAGGTCATTTGGGGAATTTCAAGGTCAGTGGAATAAAAAATTCATAATTCATGTTTTATACATATCTTTATCATGGAAAACTTACTTCTGAAAAAAACCAGTGGGGGGTATTTTGTCCTGTTTTGACAGTTCTAGTTTTTAGCTCTACTGATCAGAGACCAGAAGAGCTTATGCGATAGTAATGCGTCCGACGTCTGTCCGTCTGTCTGTCTGTCCGTCTGTCTGTAAACAATTTTTCAAAACGCTACTCCTCCTACAATTTTAGTCTGATTTCAGTATTTCTTGGCACACAAGTAGACTACACCAAGATACATAGAATAGTGCATCGGTTTTTAATTTCGATGAACGGTGTTGCCATGTTGACTAAGCATAGAATTTTCTGTGAAATTTCTTAAAAACGCTACTCCTTCTACAGTTTTGGTCTGATTTCAGTATAACTTGGCACACAAGTAGACTACACTAAGATACAACGAATAGTGCATCGGTTTTTGATTTCGATGAACGGTGTTGCCATGGTTACTAAAAATAGAATTTTCTGTGAAATTCCTTTAAAAAGCTACTCCTTCTACAGTTTTGGTCTGATTACACCATAACTTGGCACACATGTAGACTACACTAAGATACGTAGAATAGTGCATCGGTTTTTGATTTCGGTGAACGGTGTTGCCATGGTTACTAAAAATAGAATTTTCTGAGAAATTCCTGTAAAACGCTACTCCTTCTACAGTTTTGGTCTGATTTCATATAACTTGGCACACAAGTAGACTACACTAAGATACATAGAATAGTGCATCGGTTTTTGATTTCGATGAATGGTGTTAACATAGTTACTAAAAATAGAATTTTCTGTGAAATTCCTTTAAAACGCTACTCCTCCTACAGTTTTAGTTTGATTTCAAATTAAGCTGATACACAAGTAGACTACACAAAGATACATAAAATAGTGCAATGATTTTTGATAAGTACAAACCAGTAGAGCTACAGTCTCGACAGAGACTTCTGGTTTTTAGCTCTACTGGTCAAAGACCAGAAGAGCTTATGTGATAGTAATGCATCCGGCGTCCGTCCGTCTGTCTGTCTGTCTGTCTGTCTGTCCATCTGTCTGTAAACAATTTTTCAAAACGCTACTCCTCCTACAATTTTAGTCTGATTTCAATATTACTTGGCACACAAGTAGACTACACTAAGATACATAGAATGGTGCATCGGTTTTTGATTTCGATGAACGGTGTTGCCATGGTTACTAAAAATAGAATTTTCTGTGAAATTCCTTAAAAACGCTACTCCTTCTAAAGTTTTTGTCTGATTTCAGTATAACTTGGCACACAAGTAGACTACACTAAGATACATAGAATAGTGCATCGGTTTTTGATTTCGATGAACGGTGTTGCCATGGTTACTAAAAATAGAATTTTCTGTGAAATTCCTTAAAAATGCTACTCCTTCTACAGTTTTTGTCTGATTTCAATATAACTTGGCACAAAAGTAGACTACACTAAGATACATAGATTAGTGCATCGGTTTTTGATTTCGATGAATGGTGTTGCCATGGTTACTAAAAATAGAATTTTCTGTGAAATTCCTTTAAAACGCTACTCCTTCTACAGTTTTGGTCTGATTTCAATATAACTTGGCACACAAGTAGACTACACTAAGATACATAGAATAGTGCATCGGTTTTTGATTTCGATGAATGGTGTTTCCATGGTTACTAAAAATAGAATTTTCTGTGAAATTCCTTTAAAACGCTACTCCTTCTACAGTTTTGGTCTGATTTCAGTATAACTTGGCACACAAGTAGACTACACTAAGATACATAGAATAGTGCATCGGTTTTTGATTTCGATGAACGGTGTTGCCATGGTTACTAAAAATAGAATTTTCTGTGAAATTCCTTAAAAATGCTACTCCTTCTACAGTTTTTGTCTGATTTCAATATAACTTGGCACAAAAGTAGACTACACTAAGATACATAGAGTAGTGCATCGGTTTTTGATTTCGATGAATGGTGTTGCCATGGTTACTAAAAATAGAATTTTCTGTGAAATTCCTTTAAAACGCTACTCCTTCTACAGTTTTGGTCTGATTTCAATATAACTTGGCACACAAGTAGACTACACTAAGATACATAGAATAGTGCATCGGTTTTTGATTTCGATGAACGGTGTTGCCATGGTTACTAAAAATAGAATTTTCTGTGAAATTCCTTAAAAACGCTACTCCTTCTACAGTTTTGGTCTGATTTCAGTATAACTTGGTACACAAGTAGACTACACTAAGATACATAGAGTAGTGCATCGGTTTTTGATTTCGATGAACGGTGTTGCCATGGTTACAAAAAATAGAATTTTCTGTGAAATTCCTTTAAAACGCTACTCCTCCTACAGTTTTGGTCTGATTTCTATATAACTTGGCACACAAGTAGACTACACTAAGATACATAGAATAGTGCATCGGTTTTTGATTTCGGTGAACGGTGTTGCCATGGTTACTAAAAATAGAATTCTCTGTGAAATTCCTTTAAAACACTACTCCTTCTACAGTTTTGGTCTGATTTCAAAATAAGTTGGCACACAAGTAGACTACACAAAGATACATAAAATAGTGCAATAGTTTTTGATAAGTACAAACCAGTAGAGCTACAGTCTCGACAGAGACTTCTGGTTTAAATACCATTATCCATATCATACCAGTAATGATACAAACCTTTTAATGCCAAATAAAATGGTCAGGGTATATAGAATAGAGTTCTTCTCTCCTCTAGCTAGCTCTGTTAGTCATGCTATCTGATTTATTTTTGGCCATGGTTGTAGATATAGGACTAATTATTGGCATAACATCTCCAAACATTGGTGTGAGAGGACTCTTAGGTCCCTTTAAAGTTATACATATTGATTCATCCATTGTATAGAAGAGTTATTGCCCTTAGACTTTGAAATTTCTCATCTCTCAGTCAGTTTTACCACAGCAAAAAAAAACCCCTTTTTTTGCTGTGGTAAGATAATGGGGTGGTTTTTGGTGAAAGCAATTACCAGTTTCTTTATACATGTATAATTAACTTAAAGATTTTGACCGGAAAGTGATTTCGAATTATTTTTTTCACATACTGTAAACCGTTACTTTTTTTCTTGTGCGAGAAGCCGAGAAATTTTCACAAAGTTTGTGAGAGCCTTGTCATCGCAAATATTTCTCACTTTAATCAAGCTCTTAAATTTACAGTTTCTTTTAACAACAGTTCAAACAAATGGCTTGATCATGAAAATTAATCATCATGAACTAGTTTACCTCTAGTGAATTATGAAATAAAGTTGTCATGAATAAAAGTTGGTCTACAGTATGTACTTCAATTTTTTACTTTCAGGATATTTTTTTTTTGGCTTTGCTTGTAGATGATGAGCTCTTTTTGGTATATGTTGTTTATTTTGATATTTTACAGAGCAATTAAGTTTCATTTTTATGAGTTTTTGAAGTTTTTGTCAAAAGTTCACCTTACTCCCAAACTTATAAATTATACAGTGTTAAATAGTCCAAGCATATTTTGCCGATATCTTGTTACTACTAAAATATCGCAATAAGATTTTTTTTGTATTGGTATCGCAGTTGACCAGAATATTGGCATATACTGTATTAGAATCATTATCAGCTTAGTTTGGACTTTCAGTAAGGCATGGCACTCTCGGCACTACATGTTTACCGCCTTGCAAATGGCGAATAGATTCTCATTGGTTAAGAAATTAATAACATCAGGAACTTTAAATTGTTTTTGATAACGATGAGACGACTTAAGCTCCACCTCTTCGCAGCACGAAACAGTGTAATTGATTATTCGATACACTAACTGGCATTTGCCCAAATTTCTATCCCATGTATATTTCAACAGTGAAGGAAAGCTGTGTAATTTCAGAAGCTAATTATGTAACGTTGAGAATGCCACACCTTACTGAAAGTCCAAACTAAGCTGATAATGGTCCTATTGCCCATCCTAAGCAGTAACATTAGACATATCATACTACGGTATTGAAGAATCTATAGGTTGAATAGTACTTTTGAATTGCTGCAAACAGTGAAAGTAGGTAAAGAAACTATTCAAGTTTATTATTTATACTTGTACCCTTGATACATTTTTTGTATATGTGCAATGTGACCAGAGACCTATGTTTGAAGTCCCCTGCATGTTATTGATATTAATGTTTACATATGTTTTTTGATACACTATTTAAGTTTTGAAGTGTATTTTTATTTTTTGAAATAAATGAGAAAATGTCCAGAATGATTTGTTTGTACAGTGAAACCTGTCTAATCTGAAAGTCAGAATAGACAGGGTGTGGTATTGTGCAGTGTAAAACGTGAAAAATAGTGAAATGGGTAACATTATCTATGAAATATTGTAAGTCCCTACCCTATGGACTTTGCAAATATTTAATAAATTTTATTCTATATATATATAGTGAAACATAAGTAATAGTCATCTACATGTAACATATATTTACTTATTTAAAGGTAGCTGTTCCTTGTAAAGGATTTCCTGATAACATCAATATTAACAAAGAATTTGAATGTTTATTGTTATGGGTCACTCTAGCCCAGTCCTCTGGCATTTCGTGCCAGCCCTCTAACCAGCGCATCTGTGAACCTTCTGACATATTTCCCCCTTAATTTTCATAACATCTCCGAACTCAATTTCAAAGAGATTCGTAGAGACTGAAGATTTTGGTCTTGTGTCTACACCAGTATACTGATCTTGCCAAGATTACCCCTAACTGAAGATAGTGGGTGCTTTATAAAGTGTCTGTCACAAGTTAACTGAAATTTCATCTGAATTCTCAGAAATAAATGAACAAGAGAAGACAACATTTTTGTAGACCTATAATCTATTTATTACATGCAGTATAGTTTATTAACATTTGTATTACTCTACAAACATATTAATAAAAAAGTTGAGTTGACATTTCAGCAATAGTTTGAACCTGCAAAGAGAGAATAAGAAAGTTCTTTTAAAAGGTTTAATAAATGAAGTTCTTTTTTTCCAGCTAAGTAAAATGGCACTAGTTTATGGTGATAGTCAACACCATATTTGCATGCACCCCCCCACCACCACCACCACACACCCACACATCAACACTATATCTACATTATTATATACACTATATCTATGTTAATATATAACTTGAAAACTCATTTTCATTTAAATTGAAGTACTGAAAGAGAATTGGTAAGAGCTTTGCAAATTTAGTTTGATGTCAGTCATGTACCCTGAAGAAAAATATACAATTTTTTTTCACCTAGTAGGTTTGGAGACAAACATTTGACTGATAAGCAATGTACATTTCATTTTTTAAAAATACATGTACAGTGTACATTCACATGCTTCTCAATTTTCTTTAACAGTTTAAGCATTGAATTCATATTTTTGGATGTATTCGGTCCTATAACACACCTGGCCGTGCCGACAAATTGAATAACGCGCGGTATGATAAATTTGTCGGCACGGCCAGGTGTGTTATAGGACCGAAGACAGCCAAAAATATGAATTCAATGCTTATATTTACATTCTCTAATTTTCCTTCTTCATAATTGCTTATTTCGTTTATCTTTAATGTGAATTTAACGCCCTTCAAAACTGACGCGGTTAATAGATGTAAGAACCGTTTGTGATGTCAGATGACGTTGCAAAGTTAAATAATGCAAACAAACATTGCGAGGAAAAAAGTGACAAATTAATTTTAAAAGCACATTTGTAGTATTTTTACGTTAATTTAACAGGATTATAATTTTTAATTAAATTGAGTCCAAACATTGTGCATTTTGGTGTTCCCAGATTATAGAAAATGCATATAGTTCCTACTGTGTATTCTAACACGCGGTGACAAGGTTTCGCGTGTGTTATAGAAATTTGAATGTTGTGGATTTCTAATGAATTTCATAAGTAAAAATGCATGGAATGTAAATATATGATTTTGAATGTGCTACCATTTGTTTTATCATCCATTTCTGAAGGATGTTCTCTCTCATTTTCTCTGTAGTGAAACAAAATACCAGTTCAGTGTAGTAGCAGATTAATTTCAGACTGACTAATCAAAAATACAAGTTGTCTCAAATCATGATTGATATTTGTAGAATCATCAATATTTGGGGGGACCAATGTTCATGGGTCACCCTTATCCACAAATTTCCATGTCCATGAACAATTAATTTTTCAATATACATGTATTAAGTATTCATTTAAATTGTCTAAATTATATAGAAGTAACCCACAAAATTAGGTCCTCAGAAACCAACAAAATTTTGCATACCCCCACAATTTATTTTATTTTAAAATTAGTCCAGTACAGTACAATATAAATTTACCAGTGTTGGCTGTTCAAGAATCCATGTCTTCTTCATCTTGACTGTTTGTTTCTGAAAGGTATGGAGTTCCAAAATAATTTGATGCATGCAACAGTTAATCGAATATTTATCAATATTTGATATTGAATGGATGATCAATTCTGTATGACCGATTAGCTAGGGGGTGTCCACACTGTGGCTCGAACCTACGACCCTCAGATTTAAAATCCAACGCTCTACCGAATGAGCTAAAGGGTTAACCCACTAGCTATTGCTAGTAGGAGCGTGGCCTCACTATATACAACGCATAGCCACTTTAAACTCTGCTACACTTCCCCCTTCTTTTTCTTGAGGTTTCTTACCCCTAAGAAATCTCACACACGAGACTCTGTAAACACCACTCACCATGTGGGTTTTTTAGTTGGGCGCCAATATGACCGATTAGCTAGGGGGTGTCCACACTTAACCCTTTAGCTCATTCGGTAGAGCGTTGGATTTTAAATCTGAGGGTCGTAGGTTCGAGCCACAGTGTGGACACCCCCTAGCTAATCGGTCATATCTGTATTGCAAACATTCCATTCAATATACATGTATTCACATAGTGATTAAACTGTTGTTCCCTTTAACTGAGTGAGGATGACAATGTGCACTGGATTTTTTTTTATAAAGAAAACATTATAGTTTTCGATGGACCTAAATTTAGCAAGAGTTACTTCCCATTGGCCGCCATACTGGAGGTCCAAATGCTTATATTCCTTCATTGTTCAACCAATTTTAAAATTTAAGATTTGTTAATTTGAATCAGGAATCGTTATTTTTCTGAAGTATATAAATTTTTTGAAGTCTCCTTTATTTAAAAAAAATTATCTAATAAAGATTTTCCACCAAATATTTCTGCTATATTTTCTTAAAATTGGTAAGACAAAGAGGAAAACTTACCGAGTCGACCTTCAATATGGCGGCCAACGGGAGGTAACTTTTGCTAAATTTAGGCCCATCGAAAAGACGAAAACTATCTATAAACGGCAATTAAATACTGTAAACCAACTTTTATTCGCGTGCGAGAAATTTTCGCGAAGTTCGCGAGAGCCTCGTCATCGCGAATATTTCTCGCCGCGAACTGGTCCTTAAAGTGTATGTGTCTTATAACAATAGATTCAAAAAGGCTTGATCGCGAAAATTAATCGTCGCAAACTAATTTATCCCTGGTAAATCGCGAAATAAAGTCGTCGCGAATAAAAGTTGGTTTACAGTAACTCTGAATCTACAACTGTTACATACCCATATCCAATCCCATTCTTTGATAATATTCTTTTTGCTGAAATAAAATTGCAAAAAAAAATGTAACAAAATATTTTGTGCATTATGGTGGAACTAAGAATTTCAAATCATTCAATGACATGAACATAAACTGAAAATCAAATTCAGTTTGCTGAATTTCCATTTCTATCCTTCAAAGCAATGAAACTTTGAAATAATTTCCTTCTAGTTAAGCTACAGTTTTGTAGCTCTTTGTTTTGAGAAAATGGGATGGACAACCATGCAGAGAGCTACAGTGCTATCCACTGAAATAATATTTATTACCTACAAGAAAAGGAAACTGCTTTTCAATTTGTTTCATCATATGCTGCATCTCAAACAATTCATAAACTACTGTGTTTAAAACATATTCTATATGACTTGAAGTTGTTCTGCAACAATTCCCTCAAACCACTGTAAATAGCCCTCCTGGGCCTGAAAATGAGACCATAAAATTACACCTATTTTAACTGGCATGTTGGGTTGCATGACATTTGGTTCAATTTATCATAATGCTGCAGAAAATGTAATACAGAAACATGGTTTGAGATGGCAGCTTAAATATAGAGTGTAATAAATTGGGGGGGAGGGAATGCCACTAGTATTTAATGCAATAATTACCTATAGATAGTTTTCGATAGGCCTGAATTTAGCGAAAGTTACCTCCCGGTGGTCGCCATATTGGAGGTCGACTCGGAGATTTTCCCTCTTTGTCTTACCAAGTTTAAGAGGTTGTAGCAGAAATATTTGGTGGAAAATCTTTAATAAATAATTTTTTTTTAATAAAGGAGGCTTCCAAAAATTTATATACTTCAGAAAAATAATGATTTCTAATTCAAAATAGCAAATACAAAAATTCTAAATTGGTTGAACAATGAAGGAATATGAGCATTTGGACCTCCAGTATGGCGGCCAACGGGAAATAACTCTCGCTAAATTCTGGCCTATCGAAAACTATCTATTAAACATTTTTTTTTAATGCCTGGCAGTGTATCTCTTAAGTTGTCTATATCCCTATTTTTTCTGACCAGTAAGCTACAAATATGCAGCTGAAACCTCTAGGCCTAATTATTTATAATACCAGACCCCACACCCCTCCTTCAACACTTGACTAAATAAAATTTGGAATTATTTACATTTTCATCATGTATTCTTCTCCTTTCAGCCAACAGCTCAGCCTCTTTTGTCAGTCTCTCTACTATCTTCTCCCGGTCCTGAGATTTACAGATTATGGTCGCATAAACTTGGTCTTCTTCTCTTGTTTCCAGCTGTACTTTTACTTTCTTTTTGCCCTTTAGATACCTTTTCATGTTTCTACCATTACGCCCGCAAAATAGTGGTACATAGTCCTTCTTCAGTGATGCTAAGTGTATTGTCTGCTTGATGCGTTTATCATCTTCATCTGACTCCCCTGCTCTTCTTGTACGCCTGTTTAGAAGTTCTCTGTCATTTGACTCGTGTATCTTTTGGAATAAAAGTAAAAATCTCTGACTACTTGATTTATCTTTGAGTTCCTCGTGTCGCTGGAGGGCAGTGAAGTGATATTTCAACAAGGAGTAGTATTCTGAGGATTTATCCAGACTCTCAACAAATTTTTCAAAGTATTCTTCTGCAGCCTTGTATTCACTAATTGGAATTTCCTCCCATCTTTTATCTGGTTCTAGAAATAAAACACACATTTATTAGTTTATCATTATAATGCGATATTTTGAAGATGCTATAAAATTCGGCTTAGTGTAATATATGGAGTGGAATGGAGGGGAAGCCCATTGTGCAAAATTGACACCTGTCCAATGGTTTGAATCTATCCCAAGTTGAATCAGGCTACGGCATATCTGAACTGAAACAGACTAAATTGTCTATGTCAATTTTGGCCATTGGTAAAATGATATTGAACAAAAAAAGACTATTCAAATTTATATATTTTGTTCCTGAGATTTTATAATGACTCTACCCTATTTTTGCCTTTTCTTGATTATCCCCCTTTGAAAGGGTCTTGGTCCCATATTTAAAAAATTTAAAGTCCCTTTACCCAGGTTGTTTTGTATGAAGTTAAAATATGCCAATGGTTTTAGAGAAGACGTTGAAAATGTGAAAAGTTTACAGATGGATGAATGAATAGAAAGAAAGATGGATGAATGACAGACAATGAGTGATCAGAAAAACTCACTTGAGCTTTCAGCTCAGGTGAGCTAAAAGCATAACAATAATAATAGGTCCATAGTTACTCGATCAACTCCAAGTCATCACAACCCACTTCTAATTTTACATTACGCCTTTAGAATTCCCCATTGCTAAAAATAAACTTTCTTTGAACAAAAGAATTTTTCAGCTATTTTTGCTTTATTGGGGCATTGAGGGGGGGGGGGGGGTAACTCGAACCTTATTAATGTAGGGTGCAAATATGCCAGAAATTATGAGAAAAAGGAAGAAACAAAATATAAAGAGGTAATTCTGCAGTGGCTGCATGTTGTTAAGACTCAAGTACCATAACTATTGAATAAAATTGATTTACCAAGTTGCACTGTATCGTCTCTTGGTTTCTGGGTGCATGTACAAACTGCAAACGGTATCTTATCAATGTCAGTCTTCTCAAGTTTGCTGGAATCCGGATGAGAACGAAGCTGGTTCAGCATGCATTGAAATCTAGATCGCCATCTATGACCATGTGGCATACATTCTGGGTCACTTGCATCCTCACAATCCGGATATGTAGGCATTTCCTTTATCTAATTGACACTTTATAGTTTGTTTTCACTATAGATCCATAATATATTGATAATCCTGACTCCCAAGGCGTAAGGAAGGTTGGGTTTTCTAAAAAGAAAGTACAGCCGTGGGTGTAAGTGAAGCAGGCGGTAAATCTAGTCATGCCAACTCCCAATTCTCATGAAAATGTTCTCAACATCGCTTAATGTTCAATCGTTGAAGCACACTAATCAATTAAATGTATTTTAAAGAACATTTGCCTGGAAAATATGAAGCGATTTGTACCTTGATATGAAGATCTAACAACAAGCAGACATGGCAGCATCCAGTACTAGATTTACCGCACACCGTTTGTAACGAACATAAATGTAATGTCAGAGCGGGAAAATATGCTTTACTAAACATGCACAACTCGCACAGACAGTGCAGCCAGTATCGACAAGAATAAACGTCCCTCGTGTAGCATTCTGCCCACCTTTCTCCAAGCCCTAACCTGACACAAATGTTGAGAATTACCAAAGATTCATAAGAAAATTTTAAGACATATGACAGCAGGTGCGCTCTGTTGAATTATAATGATGAGGTAAGGCTATATTGGTACATTTAATTTTGTTAATTTGAATAAACCCCTTTTTGCCATCAAAATTGAAAATTTTGAAGCCTGTGTGTAGTTTTTAGTCTGTCCATCTGTCTGCTTGTCCACAAAATTTTAACCTTGCCCTTGCAATGTACCGGGTAATTTTTGATTTATAGAAAGAACTTGGGTTTTATATTTCACGTCTGTATTCTTTGTAACAGGGCCTTTAAGTTAAAAAAAAATATTTGACCTGTTGATCTTGGCCTACTACCCAGATAGCAAGCTTACGTTGGCCCGATGTTGGGCCACCGTTGTAAGTTACGTTGGTCCAATGTCGGAAAATGATATTGGGCCAATGTAATTTTGCTCATCGGCGCAACGTTGGACCGACATGTTGGCGCAACGTTGGCCCAATGTCATAGAACGATAATTCTGACGTTGGTCCAACGTTGGGCCACTGTTGTCAGTTATGTTGGCCCAATGTCGGAAAATTTATATTGGGCCAATGTAATTTTGCTCATCGGCGCAACGTTGCACCGACATGTTGGCGCTACGTTGGCCCAATGTCATACAATGATAATTCTGATGTTGGCCCAATGTAGGCCCAACGTATTTGTGCTCCTACATGTAGGCGCTACGTTGGCCCAATGTCAAACAATGATAATTCTTATGCTGGCCCAATGTTGGCCCAATGTTGGCCCAACATACCGGTATTTGTGCACAAGGATATTTAGAAATCTATGGAATTCAATGGAAATCCAAGTAATTCCAGGAAGATACAATGAAAACTGAAATAATGATAACATCACAATTTATCATAGATCAAATCTATATTTTCAAAATTAAAAAAAAATAGTTTCTTTTACAATGTGTTTTGAAACAAATATTACATATACACTTATAGATGTACAATGTAAGCACATTTTTTCAAAGTATTCTCACTGATTGACATTTCTTTGTAATAAAACAAAGTATTTCTTTTTTTAAAATATGGCATTTGACTTAATGACATTGGGAGAGGTCACTGAAACCTCAACGGGGTATACAGTTACAATGAACTTCCAGTTGCCCATGTACATTTACATTTACTAGAGTGACAAACACACATGTATTAAGTACAAAATATCCACTACACAACTATATTAATAAAAAGATCCAATAAATCAACACATACTATTTTCCCCGAATATGCCAAAGATCCTAATTAAGTTAGATCCGAAATTTCTCAAGTGTTTGCTTCACTCCAGAATCACTTCCTCACTGATATCCCATGAAATTCACAATAATAAATAAATAAAAGATGGCGTTATGTTAGAGGGTAGCCAAATAACTGGTCATGTCACGAACGGATTCACTTTAAGTACAAAGGCTCAGAAAGTTCAATGTTCATTGTTGATCATTCCCATAGACACTTCAAACTTTTCTGGCACAATTTCTGAAACAAAAGATGACCATTAGGATGTATAATATCATCGATATTTTTCGCATATATAAACATAAATATATGACAAATAATAAAGCAAGGCTCTACAAGACTGTAGACAATTGCTTATTTCAACCTGACAGTTCAGTATAGTGTAGAAATGTAATTTCAATTCATGTGATTTTATTGCTCTAATCAGAAAATTTAAGAAGTCTTACCTTTGTGTTAATTTTCATACTGCTTTTGTCCTTCTTGTGAGCATTCAGATTCCTGAAAATAATGCATGTATAATTGTGCATCATAGAATATGATTAATTAATAATAATAAATGCTTAAATATTTATGTAAAATAATTATGCATAGCTTTGCAATTTATAGCATGTTTAGATTACCTGTCAGAATCCATTGTAACTGTTATGTATCTTTAGGATAAGGAATATAAACCTCTTGTTTACTTGGTATATAGTAGATGCAATATCTTTATAGTTTTATGCTAAAAGATACAAGTTAATAAAAACAATGTTAGGTTATTTGTGTTAAATGAAAATTTGAGCTGGTTCTCACCATTTTTACAAGCTGACTATTCGCCGGCGCAGTGGGAATCGTCTCGGGCACAGTCCACTGCATGCAACTATTAAATAATCAAAATAAGTGCTGAAAATGATCTTGCACATGCATTTAAAAATAAATATACTTTATTACATTGTACAACATACTCTGTAAATGTTGAAGAGAGGAACAGTAAAATTCGATCCCAAACGAGGAAACTCGGGTTGAAATCCATCTTTATGAAAGATGTATAGAAGTGTAAAATTATTATAACAAAATTAAAATAGCGCTTGCTCAAACGATTTTACTGCCAGGCATTTTATGTGTAGTGTCCTGACTAAGGAAGTATTCAAGGACACATGTTATACTATAAAAAATATTTTGTACATAGTACCTACCGCAGTACCGAGTCGTAAAATGTCTTCATCTTCTGTCAAAACAGAAATTCGATCCAAAGCTAGTCATGATTCTCCTTTTCGCGACACTCTTTTCCGAACTTTCCTTCTGTACAATATCAACATGGCTACGTTGAACACCCCAAAAATTTAAATTTCGGCGCGGTGTGTTGTTTAAATTAATTGCTCATCGAGCCCGACTTCGATCCCGATGTAATTGTACTATTAGTCGATAGTTTTAGAGAAAAATCTAAGTTATTTTCCATAGTTTTGAAAATCTACGTAAGGATTAAATAATTAAAAATGAATAAATAAACAAATAAATAAAAAATAAAATAAATAAATAATTTTTTTAACGTTTCAATATATAAGTTGGTTCAACAATGTCGGGCCAACATTGCAAAGATGTCCATACTTCAACATTAAAAATAACAATGTTCAGGCACGTAGCAACAGGGGGCAGGGGGGCCTGACCCCACCCCACCCCAACTTTTTCCCCAACATTACCTTGACTACAGAAAATGTCCATTGAAAGGATGCCCTCCCCCCCCCCCCCCCCCCCACTTTTTACCACAGTATAGTGATATCAAGAAAAAACAGCAAAAAATTGGAAGTGAAAGGAAGTTGGCCTTGAAAAAAGTTGGCCACTACCCCCCCCCCCCCCCCTCCTGCCCTTTTGCTTGTCAACTTTTTCAGGTAAGTAAAAAAAAATTTTGTGGTTGCCCCCCCCCCCCCCTTTCAAAAACGATGCTACGTGCCTGATGTTGGCCCGACTTTGGAACAATGTTAGTGCACCAACTGTTGTAATGACAATGTCGGACCGATGTTGGTACAATGCCAATGCACCAACTGTTGTAATTACAATGTCGGACCGATGTTGGTACGATGTCAATACACCGACTGTTGTAATGACAATGTCGGACCGATGTTGGCCCAATATCGTTCTGCCAACCGCGATATGTAGCCGATCTACCAACCATATGCCAACATCGGCCCAACGTCAGCTTGCTATCTGGGTATTGAGAAAAAACCTTAGGTAAAACTTTTGATTGATCCCCCCTCCAGTCTTCTGTACCCCAAGAGTTCAATCCTTGACTTTTTAAAAATAAAATATTTTTCAATGACATTTTCACAAATTATTACAACTGAAAATTCCCATATTTATGTTAAAACTACCCTTTTCTAAAAATTCATACTATCTGAATTCTGATACTAAAACAGAAAAAGGTTGGCAACCTTGAGACAACAAACGATTTTCAACACCTTACATGATGGGAAATCCTCAAAAAATTAAGATGAAAGATACTTACCGACTGGAGTTGAAGTAAAAAAGGTTTCCATATCTTCAGAGATTATTAATTAATTGATACATCACTAATTTGTGTCCCATTGTTAAAACCCCTGTCTCATCAAATCAATTATCAATCAACCTTGGAAGTGAGCTTTCATACCAGGATATCAGTGATAAGTAATTTCAGTAATTAATTGTGTCATTGAAATAGAGAAATATGCCCTAGAAATATTTTGTGATACATGCCAATATTTGTATTCTTTTCATGCAGTCAGCTTTAAATGAAGGGGTAAAGGGGGGTGTAAATGATAACTGAAGTCAATAAATGTACCAGTATAACTGTGTTACATTATATAAATATTGCATGTAGTTGAGTGTATAACATTGAAAATTTTCACCCCAAGAAAACCATTGGATTTCGAGGGGTGAAAATTTTCAATGTTACACTCAACTATATGCAATATTGATTATATTATATACTGAATGTTTTATACAAATACATATAACAGCTCGTGAACCGTGCACGCATAAATTCTGCTATTTTTAGCTCTACTGGTCAGAGACCAGAAGAGCTTATGCGATAGTAATGCGTCCGGCATCCGTGCGTCTGTCTAGCTGTCCGTCTGTAAACAATTTTCAAAATGCTACTTCTCCTACAGTTTTGGTCTGATATCAGTATAACTTGGCACATAAGTAGATTTCACTGAGATACATGATTCCGTTTATCAATTTTTGATTTTGATGAACGGTGTTGCCATGGTTACTAAAAATAGAAATTTTTGTAAAATACTTTTAAAATGCTACACCTCCTACAGTTTTGGTCTGATTTCAATATAACTTGGCACACAAATAGACTATACTAGTAAGATACATAATTCTGTGTATCGGTTTTTGATTTCGATGAACGGTGTTGCCGTGGTTACTAAAAATAGAAATTTCTGTGAAATTGTTTCAAAATGCTACTCCTCCTACAGTTTTGGTCTGATTTCAATATAACTTACCACACAAGTAGACTACACTAAGATACACAATACGGTGTATTGGTTTTTAGCTCACCTGAGCCAAAGGCTCAAGTGAGCTTTTCTGATCACATTTTGTCCGGCATCCGTCTGACCGTCTGTCTGTCCATCTGTCTGTCTGTCTGTAAACTTTTCACATTTTCGACTTCTTCTCAAGAACCGCTGGGCCAATTTCAACCAAACTTGCCACAAAGTATCCTTGGGTAAAGGGGATTCAAGTTTGTTCAAATGAAGGGTCACGCCCTCATTCAAGGGGAGATAATTGGGAATTAATGAAAATTTAGTGGCATGTTCAAGAACCACTGTTCCAGGAAAGATGAAGCTCCTGTGGTATCTTCGTCTGGTAGTGTTGATTCATATTTGCTCAAATCATGACCCCCCGGGGTAGGGTGGGGCCAAAATGGCTGACCAAAGTTTTACATACAAATATATAGGAAAATTCTTTAAAAATCTTCTTCCCAAGAATGACAAAGCCATAATTGATCATATTTATATGGAAGCATGCTCAGGTATTGTAGATTCAAGTTTGTTCAAATCATGACCCCCGGGGGTAGGGCGCGGCCAAAATGGCAGACCAAAGTTTTACATAGAAATATATAGGAAAATTCTTTAAAAATTTTCTTCTCAAGAATGACAAAGCCATAATTCATCATATTTATATGGAAGCATGTTCAGGTAGTGTAGATTCAATTTTGTTCAAATCATGACCCCCCGGGGTAGGGCGGGGCCAAAATGGCCGACCAAAGTTTTACATAGAAATATATAGGAAAATTCTTTAAAAATCTTCTTCTCAAGAATGACAGAGCCATAATTCATCATATATATGTGGAAGCATGCTCAGGTAGTGTAGTTTCAAGTTTGTTCAAATCATGACCCCCCGGGGTAGGGCAGGGCCAAAATGGCCGACCAAAGTTTTACATAGAAATACATGTATATAGGAAAATTCTTTAAAAATCTTCTTCTCAAGAATGACAAAGCCATAATTCATCATATTTATATGGAAGCATGCTCAGGTAGTGTAGATTCAAGTTTGTTCAAATCATGACCCCTGAGGGTAGGGTGGGGCCAAAATGGCCGACCAAAGTTTTACATAGAAATGTATAGGAAAATTCTTTAAAAATCATTTTCTAAAAAATAGCAAATCCATGATTGGTCATGGGACTACTTTTGGATTTAAACTTTACAATAAAAAGCCATTTTCTACTTTTGCCTACCCTTAGTGCTCAGGTGAGCGATGTGGCCAATGGGCCTCTTGTTGATTTTTATGAACGATATTGCCATGGTAACTAAACATAGAACTTTCTATGAAATTTCAAAATATTACCCCTCCTACAGTTTTGTTCTGATTTCAATATAATTTTGCACAGAAGTAGACTGCATTAAGATACACAATTCTATTTATCATTTTTTGATTTCGATGCCTTAAAAAATCATAGGCGTCAGAACCGGGGGGGCTAGGGGGGGCTTAGCCCCCCCACTTTTTTTCCAAATATATACTTAGTATTGACTTAGCCCCCCCACTCAAATGTATACTTATATTGACATTGAACATTGCTTCGTAGGTTTAGCCCCCCCACTTTTCACAGGCATATCGCAGTATAGGTAAAAAATGTTTAAAAAATGGTGCATAAAAAAAATTTTGGTACTGAAGTTCGAATTTAAACCCCCCCCCCGAAATAGGATTTTCGTGTTTGGGAAATTTTCATTCCCTTTTTTTTTTCTTTTTTTTTTTTTTGCTTGTCAGGTTTTTTTGAAAAGGTATAAAAAAAAATTTTTATTACCTAGCCCCCCCACTTTCAATTTGCTTCCGACGCCAATGAAAATGGTTACTAAAGATAGAAATTTCTGTAAAATGCTATCAAAATGCTACCCCAAATACAGTTTTAGTCTGATTATAATATAACTTTGCACACAAGTCGACTACACTAAGAACATAAAGAGACTTAATCAAGTATTATTATTCTATTTATTGCTGTTGTAAAGTTTCAATTCCCAACTGCTACTTTTCTCTTCCTTTGCTTTAAGTAAAAACCAGTAGAGCTTCAGTCTTGACAGAGACTTCTGGTTTAGAATATCACCTGTCGTCAAGCAATGTTGACTGTTGCTACGCTGGAGGGCGTGGCTTTATTATTCAGCGGATAATAGTGTTTTTAAAAAATGTTTATCGACCAATCAGATTCAACAAATTTACATGAAAGTATAATATTAGTAATTGGGATGATACTTTCCCACACTACTTCATAATAATATCTGTAGAGTTCCAATTCCACAACAGACTTTAATTCTTTTTCTGGTAGAAGGAGATTTCATGTACACTTGCATGAGTAACTCCCATTATCTGTCCATCATCTTTAGATGCAGTAATCTTCTTTACATTTCTGATACCCTTTGTTGTGCTAAACTTAGAGCATGAAATTGAAACAAATTCTGGAATCTTAGTTATGAATCAAACACATTATAAGAAAATGGCAAGCAGGATTTTTTTATTGTCCCTGTGGATTAATTCTGTCACTCTTTGCGGCAATATTTACGAGTCTAATACCGGTAAATATCTCTGAAATGAAAAGAAAAAGCTCATAGCCATTGTCTGCAAGTAATGTCTTATGTTACCAATATTGCTTGCTTCTTTATGGAAGAGTTATGTACAGATTAACTGTATCTCCAACTTGAGATTTCACTATACTATGATATGCCAATATCCTTTAACCATCATTGCTTTTGATCCCATTCTTGTGCCCATGAGTAATTTCCCTTGGTAGCCATTGCTTTTCTTTCTTGAAACATTGCCAGTTTAAAGAAGTTTTGCCCAAACACATTTTTTTAACATTGTTTAAATTAAGCTCACCTCAGAAAAGTCAAAAGACAGGGTTCGACACTAACATTTTT